ACCGTTTTATCAGTGAGATAGTGTTGTTATTTAGTCTGCAGAATCAAAATGGCTCTCTTATTGGTACACAAGACGACGGTTTATTTCAAAGTACATTAAAGCCAAGTTTTTTATGACAATTGAATCACTGGAAGAAATTTTCAACCGTCCGTTGTTTCGTGTAATGATCCACATAGAATACTTGCTATTATTTTATAAGTATTGGCAATACATTTTTATGATGTACAACTACGACCCAAGTATATTCTATCTATTTTTCGTTTGTCTTTTTTTTATATTATTGCCCGTCGTCATTTTAAACGCATATGAAATTAAATCGATTTACCGATTCGTTATGTTTCCCACTCTAATGGCGCTCATGGACTTGATTATTCTCGTGTTTAGCCTACGATGGGATTCACTTGTGCACTATCAAGCTGCTGCTTGCCTATGCGAAAGCACGAATCCGCGTTTGCATAGAAATGATCGATGTCATATTTATCCCATCTTGGATTCAAACGGTTTTCTAGGAAGCGTTCTAAGAAACATAGCCATATGTGAGTATGATTTCACTCGATGGTGTTTTGGTATTATGGTATTTCCTGCATTAGCATTCTTTTCATTTATTATAAACAATTTGGTAGTTAGATTGTGAACTAGCTCAAATCGAAAACAAACTGATCTATTTGTAAACAAAAAGACAAATCAATGTGCTACTCTTAACTTTTTCTTTTTCAGAGTGTGGATACGAGAGAAGAGAATACAGGCACACTAGGGTGTGGGTATGTGTGGGTGGGTATGGGTGTGTGTGGGTGTGGGTGGGTATGGGTGTGGGCGGGTGTGTGTGGGTTTGGGTGTATGTGGGTGGGTATGGGTGTGTGTAGGTGTGGGTGGGTATGGGTGTGGGTGTGTGTGTGTGGGTGTGGGTGGGTGTGAGTATGGGTGTGTGTGTGTGCGTGGGTGTGGGTATGGGGTGTAGGTATGGGCATGAGTGTTGAAGATGAACACTCCGTATCCAACCATATCCCACACCCACACCCTTGGGTGCGGTTTGGGTGTGGGTGGATGTGGGCCGTAGGTGTAACTATTACCATTCGCACCCACATCCAAACCGCACCCAGGGGTGTGGGTGTGGGTGCGAATGGTAACAGTTACACCTACGGCCCACACCCACCTCCACAGCCACACCCACACACATCCACACCCACACCCTATTCCAGAAAATAACTTCAAACAAACTGCCGAAATTCTTCTTAATATATTTCAATCTGTGCGTGTTTTAAAAAAACATTTGCCTAGTAGAGTTGACGAAGCCTATGGTGACATGGTTAAATATCTCTTGCAATATCTAAGCAATTTGTCTGAGAAAGTAGAGCCACTTTTAGCAAAGGGCAGACTAAATAATGAAGAAATAGAAATCATTAAAAAATCTATGGAAATACTACGATCAGCTAAAGAAAACGCTGCACTTCAAGAACGCGTTTCAATATATCTAGAAATGCTAAAGAAAAAAACGGATGTCTTAGATGGACATGATGCAGATCAGACTTTCGGCAATAACATTAAAGATTTGAATGAAATTTATGATCAATTCATCGCAAAGACTATCAAACATTTTGATGAGATTAGCTTAAGAATTAAGGAACTATTTGATAGAAATGGAGATAATGCTTTAGAATATATGAAAATATTGGTTAATGATATGGATACTCTTCGTACTATTCCAGAACTTGAGACAAAGTGTGCTGGAACATATTATCATACGATTGAAAACATACGTGGTTACATGCAACAACTACAAGGAGAAGCAGAAAAGTTAGTCATTGCTATTGATCAACAGTCAGGTATCACAAACTATAGACATATTGCACGTTCATTGGCACGTTTGAAAAATGCCTCATGGATCGATCAGATTAGTCCAGGAATATATGATAATGTAATGCGTCGTATTACAGAAGAATTAGTGCAATATGCTTGTCAATTGGAAGATAGTTTCATGAAAGTAGATTTTAGTTTGAAATGTCCAGAGAATGTTTCTATTGCGAAAGAGATTGTTGACAAAATTGAATCTATGCAAGATTTAGAGCGTAGTATTCCAGAATTAGAAAAGTATAGAAATAGTATCCTCCAGCGTTTTTTGCGTTGTACACAGGAAGCTTTCGATCGAATACAAAAGACTTTTAATTTACAAGATAAAGATCTTTATCAAATAAAACAGAAGTTAAAAGAACTTGAAGAAATTAAACGAGAATATAGTAATTTACATCCAGCTCGTATTTATCTACAAAGACAAGGTTATTCAAACATCAATATGCTAACTAATGACATTGAAGAGTTAAAAGTAAAAAGAAAACTGGAAAATGATGTATTACTAGCTGCGCAATGTGATATGGAATCTGAGTTGCGAAATTTAAACTCAATTGTTCAAAACTACATGAATCTGTTGTCTTCGTCATCGACAGATCAAGATGTATTTCAAACATTGTCAAGTATGATAGGATTAGATTTTCAAAACCAAAGCTCACAGACAGATACTTATTTAAGATCATTAGGATATTCATGTATTGAATCAGTATACGAAAAGATTTCAGACGTTAAGAAAAATTATCGTCAAAAATTACAACGAATTGAAGATCAAAATACAGAATTAAGTCTTTTATTAGATCGTCTTGAATCCATAAAAAAAGAGCATGACTTACTGATAACTACTCGTCATTCACCTTCTGAAGAAGCTAGTTTTCTTCAAGGAAAAGGATTCAATAGTTATGAATTACTTGATAGTAGTATACAAGAAATAACAAGAGTTATTAATGAACAGGGAAGAAATCAACAATCATATCATTTTAATGATAGATTAAATGCTTTAACAGCAAATAATGCATTAATATATATACGTCAATGTGAAAAAGTAGGTCATGATCGTGTAAGAGAAAATGCTATTGATGCCAATGAAAACTTACGAAAATATATAAGAGAATATGGTATTTTTTTAAAACATGAAATAATTACAAAATTTAATTATATGCACACTGTTGACGATGAAAA